TGTTTTCGTGTTGTTGGCTTGCTTGTCACATTTCCTATCATGATTTCCTTGATAGAGGGTTGCTTCTCACAAAGAGGCTTTTAAACCAAGAGTTCCAACTGATGAAGTTCAAATCATCCCTTTGTAAATTATACGGATCACAGATGTCAACGGATATGTTCCAATTGTCGTAACTACAATCCCATCCAGTTTACCCAAATGTGACTTACCGAATCACCGAGTTTGTATTAATTAACATGAGCAACACGACGGATGCCACATGTGGAGCAGGATCTGCTTACCCTTCCTGAGCACCTGAGATCACGACCAGTTTTTGGTGTGGTTCGTGTTGCTCAGTCTTTGGTTTTCTATGTTGTGTATTGTGTACTATTGTTTATCTGTTTGTGTGTTGGTCGTTTTCTTTTTTTAGCCATGGCGTTGTCAGTTTATTTTCGACTTATGAGTTTGAAAGTTCCTTTTGATATCTTTAGCCTTTCTTTTGCAGTTGTTCTATAAAAAATGTATTGTTTTTCATTTGTTTTCATTTTGTTTTAATCAGTTTTTAATTCTGCCTAGAAATTAAGCTTTGCTGATGTGACTTGATGAATTATAAATGAGACATTTATTTAAAACATTTGGTTAATCAACGATTGTTCGTTGTTGTTTTTCTTTTTAACTATTTTTCGGAGCGGCTGCTGGTAGATGATATTGTCGCATGTAATATCATGGGTTTTTTTCTAGTGTGAATCATGTTATCCCCGTTAGGTACTGTTTATTTTTAAATTTTTAACACATTTGATTTTTATCTTTTATTTCTTTACCCCTGTGAATGACGATATCATGGTCCTGCGAAAATTGACTAAATTCGTACGAAATTCTAGTTTGTTGTTATTAATGCAAACAAAACTTGATATCACATGTACATTATTTGTGTTATAGTTTTTTTATGTGCCATGATCCTTTCTTTTCTATTAAACACTACATGTCATGGACGTTATACAGAGTTTGTCGATTTTGACTTTCGTCGTAATAGAGTTACGGATCTTTGTTTATGAAAAAATACAGATATATTTGTTAACCCTTGTTATTTTTTTATTGTAAATATTGATAAGATAAGCTCATTGATGTTTAAGTTTCATATATTCAAAATAATAAGGACGCCACGAAGTAAAAAGATGAATAATGAATTTAATTCACCTGAAATAGATATACAATGTAAGAAGATGTGGTATGAGTGCCAAAGAGACAACTCTCCATCCAAGTCACAATTTATAAAAGTAAACCATTATAGGTCAAATTCTGATTGTGAAATTCAGATTCTAAATAGGTTTTGATTTCTCATAGATTTAAAATCCTTCAATGTTTTTCCGACGACTTCTCGATAGAATTTTTGTTAACAATAGACAAAGGTCCAATCGAGGGGAAACGTTTATGCCTATTGACCAGTTATCCGTATTTTTTTGTTTACCAAACTTTATAAATTTTTCATAAACATGCAAATGCTATGTTTACTTGGTTTATTGGATAAATACTAATAAGTCTATAGTGTGTAAACATGATGTCTTAAAACTACTTCTTTGTCTATTGGACGAAGCTACAACAAAAGTATCATTCTGCATGTGCCACTAATATTTTGCTATACGGTTTTTAAATGTCATTAAATCATTGAAATATTGCAAATACAAATCATAATTAAAAAATAAATCATGAGGTCTTTGAACACTCGTGCTGCATATATCTTACCCAATTGTTGCTATATTACATATCTTATATATACATATATCTGATGATTTTTGTTCCATGTTATAATCTTGACCAGATAAATTCAATTACAATTTAAAATATTAATTTATTTTATAAAAAATAAGGAGATGTTGTATGATTGCCAATGAGACAACTATCCACCAAAGTTCAAATGAAGTGGATGTAAGCAATTATAGGCAACCGTACACCCTTCAACAATGAGAAAAACCCATACCGTATAGTCGGCTATATAAAAGGCCCCGACATGACAAATATGTAATTTGTGACGAAACAATTTACGAAAAACAAATATGACATGAACCAACGACAACCAATGAAATGCAGGCTCCTGACTTGGGACAGGCACATGTAGAATGTTGGGGGTAAAACATGTTTGAAGACGCCAACCCTACCCTTTACCTGGGACATTGGTGCGATGGCACGACAGAAGAACAAACTATGCAAAACAATAAACGAAAAACAAACTATAAAAATCAGTTGAAAAGGGCTTAATACATCAGATCGATACAAAGCAGAAAAACATCTAACAAAACGCAGATCGGACGTGGCAGGGTATTTATACATCCCTACGAACAAAAACGACACAAAGTGCAGATCCGAGAGTACTCGCAGTTATTGACAGCTAGTTCAAAGCCAATAACAACTAATAAGAAAATCATGTATCTAAGACTAAAATATCAATCAGTACACATCCAACATCCAATGGATTTAATGTTAAGGCGTCATTACCAGTTAGATAAAAAACATGACTTGTTGCAATGCCAAAATATAGGTTTCGGTAAATTATAACTTTATTCATTAAAAAACAATTGACAACATAAGTGTTCCTTAACCAATTTATTCCATTCATAATCACCATTGTTTTACATTGTATTGTTTTCACTTTATGACAAATACGGTTTTGTTTCCTCAGACAAAGCCCTTAAAACGCGTTTTTATGTGCATGTAGATTACACTGATCTGTAAACTGCCTGATACATGTAAGAAGACAAGGTATTGAAAACTAATTTGGTAACCCACATATATCTGCGAACTCTTAGGACACTCACTAAAGAGGAAATCGTGTACAATTATAGGCCGGTCTTTTAATCCTTTTGAAATTATATCAAAGATGAAGAAATGGGTCTTCCCTCTCCATACTAGATACACTAATTACACAAACGTCCTTAAAAACAACACTTAATATTTTTGGGTCTGCCAAATTCTTCACGAAACCTCTTTCCAAAAATTTAAACGTCTATTTTATCAGCAATCAAAATCGGGATTCCTAGTTAACTCTATATAGTGACTTTTCCCAAACTTCAAAGATCTGGAAGAGTATATTCAATCTACGTACATAATCCAGTAGTATAAAAAAAAATTGACAAACGCAAAAACAAATATATTCTATTTGAAAGGGACAGTTCATATTTTGTAAAATAACCGCTTGGATTCCAGCAAAAAAGTTCTCTGTAATTGACATCATCAAGATGCTCGATTCTTTATGATTGATAACATAGTAGTTACCATTGGTGGAAATGAATTTAAACACCCAATCGGCATTCATATAGGAACCAACTGTGCTTCTTCTTCTCACCCACTTTATTGATATGATGCAGACTTCACACAGGGGTTATAAAAGAAGAATGAAAAGGAGCGCATTATCTTGTAACTGTACGCTAAATATATATGATGTCCTGTCACAGAATAATGGTGATTACGATAATTGAATCTATTCCGATGTTCTTAGGATAAAGGATACCATAGATTCAAATTAAGCATGCTTCATAACTTGACTCGCATCTTAAATTTACTAAATTGGTCGTTTGAGATATACATTTTTAAAGCTTACGCCAAAAGAGATGATTTATGATAAAAAGGGGTAGATCCCCTGCAGGGTCGAATCAAGGAATCGAAAATTGGAATTGATGGTTCTCTGCTCAGCATGCGGCACATAGGAATAAGAACGAAGGCAGGTTGAATCGCAGACAGAATAACATGTCGGGTAGGGTAACATGTCTTTCTATGAACCATATAATCTTATGAACTAGAAAGTTAAAAATCCAGCTCCGCGTATCATACAGTCTGTAGTACATAGCCGGGTCCATATTCATATCGCATTAACAAGTTCTCATTCTAATATGCATGTGATAATTCCCATTGGACGTTCAACGGACGTTAAACACCAATTAACCATCATCATAATCAATAACAAATCTTGATTCGTGAAGTAGGATCTGCTTACTCTCTCGAAGCATCTGAGATCATCCATGGTGTGTTTGTGTTGCTCAGTCTTTAGTTTTCTAGGTTATGTTTTATGGACTGTTGTTTGTCTTTTCGTCGTTTTTCGTTTTTTGCCATAAAATTGTCAGTTTGTTTTAGACTTATGAGTTTGAATGTCCCTTTTGTATATTTCGCCCCTCTTTTTCTTCTTGCCCATGGCGTTGTCTGTTTTTATTAGACTTATGAGTTTGAATGCCCTTTTTCATATTTCGCCTCTTTTTCTTCGTGCCCATGGCGTTGTCTGTTTTTATTGAACTTATGAGTTTGAATGTCCCTTTTGTATATTTTGCCTCACTTTTGTTCTTGCCCATGGCGTTTTCTGTTTTTATTAGACTTACGATATCTTCTTGCCCATGGCGTTTTCTGTTTTTATTAGACTTACGATTTATTCTTGCCCATGGCGTTTTCTGTTTTTATTAGACTTACGATTTTTGATTGCCTTCTTGTTATCTTCTTTCTATTGTCTTTTTTGCCTTTGTAGAAAATGTTTTGGATCTTATTGTTTTTCCTAAGTTATCAGATGTCTGGATATTTTACAATCGGAACTTTTCCAACTTGTGTTTTTATAATGCGCAAGAACTGTATCGTATGAAAGCTGTGTGGTCAATTGGATGGTGTGTTAGAATCTATATTAAATAGTACAGAATAAAAACAACTACGAGCAGAACAACTATGCTAACAAGGAGTTAGAATGATTTTGGTTTATGTAATAAGGTTCTTTATTTTAGAAAGTGGATTGTTTTCCTATGAAATCATATTCACTTAGGAAATGTAGGTAGGAACAGTTTTTTTAAATTATTTACTATAAATATAAAAAGGACGTAAGATGATACCAAGGGAGCAATCAAAAATCATACATCGAGAAATAAAGAATCACCAAAAAATACAACATTTTCTTAAACAAACGAAAAACAAAATTAAAGTCCAAAAAACACCTAAATACATACTTTTTTTTTTAAATAATCAGCACATAAAAATCTTTATGAAAATAACAATTATTTAAACTTAAATGGATTTATTGATTTAAATTTAAATCTCGAATCCATTAAATGAAGTCCATATCCCACTGTAGCAGTATCCGCTACCATTTCGTGCCATTCTTATCCAAATTTTGTCATGTTTCTTCAAAGAAAGGACAGCTGACTGTGTCGATGAATGGCTCCATTTACTACCTTCATTCCAAGTATGATTTGCGAACCCAGCAGGATTACCATTCTTTATAAGTTCAGTAGGACAGCTTCCACCAGGGTTTGTATACATCGTCCAGGAAAAGTAGAATGTACCATCACGTGGGCTTGTGAACACGCCAGTTGTTTTATCATAATTGGCCCCCATGTTTGTTATAACGGTGCCAAAAATAATTTTTGTATGCAGTGGCACCTTTGTCAGATGTTTGTGTAATTTGGCTGAGAAAGCTGACTTTACACGATCTATTAAAAGATAATCAGTGTATGCTTTAAAACATTTTAAAAACATGTAAATCCATATCAAAATAATGAAGACATTATATGAATTATACTGTAAAGTTCCGTGATCAATGGACTATCTTACTTATGATATAGGCATCTAGTGCAGGAAATAAAATTAAACATAATGCAAAGTATGTAAAATTGCATTGATTGTAAACAAATTTGTGATTATTCAACACACAAGTCTAATGCACATAATGTTAAAAATCAAAAGCAAAAAGAGGCTTCTTGGAGCAACATTTCTTCACATGCATAGCTTATTAATATATGGTTAAGTTAATCTTCTTAACCATTCTTTAATTACTATTGACTATTGAACATTTTTTTGAATGTAATCATTTGACTTTGTTCTGTACAGACCAATTCCGTAGTTAAAGAACAGAGAATCTGATGTTCAATAGTTGTCGTTTGTTGATGTGGTTCACAAGTGTTTCTCGTTTCTCGTTTTTTATATAGATTAAACCGTTGGTTTTCCCGTTTGAATTGTTTTACACTAGTAATTTTTGGGGCCCTTTATAGCTTGCTGTTCGGTGTGAGCCAAGGCTCCGTGTTGAAGACCGTACTTTGACCTATATTGGTTTACCTTTATAACTTTTGACTTGGATGGAGAGTTGTCTCATTGGCACTCATACCACATCTTCTTATATCTATAAAGAGTTCAAGTGGCTACCCGGTATCTGCCAATTGTGATAACATATTGGTTTTCTCGTTTAAATTGTTTTATCTTTTACAATATCTTAATATACGACATAGTTTTGCTTTAATACGCACCAATCCGCCTGTTACATTGTATCCATAAACATTTTTTTTAATTGTTTTGTTTCCTTTTTTAAAGTGTTCAAAATTGATGGTTTTAATGTTAAATAAAAGTGAGAATGGAAATGGGGAATATGTCAAAGAGACAACAACCCGACCAAAGAGCAAACAACAGCTGAAGGCCACCAATGGGTCTTCAATGCAGCGAGAATATCCCGCATCCGGAGGTGGTCCTCAGTTGGCCCCTACATAAAATTGTGTGCTAGTTAAGTGAAAATGGACATCACACTAAACTCCAAAATATATAAATGAACTAAAATTAAAAAACATACAAGACTAGCAAAGGCCAGAGGCTCCTGACTTGGGACAGGCGCAAAAATGCGGCGGGGTTAAACATGTTTTGTGAGATCTCAACCATCCCCCTATACCATTTGTCAATGTAGAAAAAAGAAACACATAGCAATACGCACAGTAAAACTCAGTTTAAAAGAGGTCCGAGTCCGATGTCAGAATAGGTAACAAAAGAAACTAAGCAAAATGACAATGATATCGATACAAAAACGAACAAAGGACTACTAGCAGTTACTGACATGCTAGCTCCAAACCCCAATTAAACTGAATGAAAGATTATGTCTTCATCATATGAAAATCAAGTACAATCCCTCCCGTTAGGGGTTTAGTAGACCCTATTACCTTAAAATATTGGATGTGAAATACCTGAACGTACAAGATGTCTGCATGTTGATTTATATTTACGAATGATGTCCTTGTACCGATGATAAAATTTAGTAAATGTTTTGACTAGTTTGTGATATTGAAAACCCTGGTGTAATAATTTTTCAGTAATACAGAGATTTCTTTAGTTGAAATCAAATACGTTGTTACATACACTAGCGAATCGAACAAGCTGAGATATATGAACACCATAAGATGGCGACAAGGGAACGTCACCATCTAAAAATGGATAATTAAAATTAGGAAATGAAAAATCATCTCTTTTATCATAAATTTTGGTATAAAGTTTCCCATTAAAGATAAAGATATCAAGATCCAGGAAAGGGCAGTGTTCATTGTTAGTATTAGTTTATTTAAAGTCAGTTCGGCAGGATAAATCTCTTTAGTGTACATACTGAAGTCGTCATTATTGAGAGCCAATATATCATCTAAATATCTAGAAGTGTTATTAAATTTTTGAATCAGATGTTGTTTCGATGGGTCTTTGCTGATTTTAGTCATAAATTGTAACTCATAACAATACAGAAACAGGTCCGCAATAAGTGGTACACAGTTAGTCCCCATGGGAATTCCGATAACCTGACGATATACGGAATCTCCATAGCGAACAAAAATGTTATCTAGTAAAAATTCAAGGGCAGTTATAGTATCAAAGTTAAATACCTCTTTTAACTGCATTGATTGTTTTTATGTTAAGCGCTTAGAGTAATTTTAATTAGATAATGCACTATATAAATATTGTAAATATATCTTACCGGCGCTTGTTTCACTCCCGCATTCATCAGGATTCATAAGATTAAACTGGTATTTTATACTTCTCATTAATTTGTTGTTACTGCAACAATCCTTTAATTGAACAGGGGACCAGAACAAAAGAAACAAGACAAGATACATCATGTATTTGTACCCCTGGAATAAAATATAATGTAATCATTAAGACTTGTAGATTTTCTTACAGATATATTTGCATTTCAAAGTAAAAAAGATTATCAGTGGACGTGGCTTTCGTACATAATGTCATTTTAATGTTTTAGCATTATCAACTTTAGAAACAAGTTCGTCAGTTCTCCGAACTGCGTTTGTTGTCGAGTTTTCGAGCTTCGGTCCTTGCTTTGAAGTTGATTCTATGATACAATTTGATTTTTTTCGTTTAAAGTACCTAAATTCATTGACTTTATAAATAGTATTATTATAAATAGGTGATCGCTGAATACTCCGTTGAATTAAATTCTTACAATTGAAAATATACTTCTGTGTGTGAAAATGTTTAATGTATAAAGCCACCCCATTGGCGAGAGAGATTTACGACTGAAACGTCAACTGCTTACCAATTCGCAGGATGCATGCCATCGCAAAGAGATTATCGCCAAATATTCAAAGTAAAAAAGTAATTGAATATATGTCGCATATGATTACACGTAATTGAATATATGTCGCATATGATGTATTGATCATTAAAATGTATTTGAATGTGTGCCGAAATGATGTTGGCAAAACTGTACTTTTACATTTATATATAAATATTATTTATTAAGTTTTCTATTATACATTACAACTTTACATGCACCCGTCTTACAATTAATACACAAATATTGTAACAATAAAATTTGTATTTTATAACGCTGTAAACAAATAAATATGATTTTACCTCCATATTGTTGACTTTGTTATTATTTGGATGTGTGCCAAAAAGATGTTGGCAAAACTGTACTTTTACATTTATATATAAATATTATTGCATGCAATCTAGTAATTACATGTAATTGAATATATGTCACATATGATGTATTGATCATACGTTTCTTAACTTATAAAAGAAGTCAGTCGTAACCACAATCACGTTCTCTTTTAATCGAATGTGACCTACTGAATTAGACTTATCAACTGTTTGTACTTACATGAGCAACACAAGTGCCACATGTAGAGCAAGATCTGCTTACCCTTCCGAAGTACCTGAGACCACCCCGGTTTTTTTGTTGTGGTTCGTGTTGCTCGGCCTTTTGTTTCGATATACTGTGTTTTGTATACTGTTGTTTGCCTTTTGGTTATTTTTTTCGTTTTTTGCCATGGCATTGTCAGTTTGTTTTCGACCAACATGTTTGAATGTCCTTTTGGTATCTTTCGCCTCTCTTTTCCAGTAATAAATGTAGGAGTCGTTATGTTGTTAACTAACACTGGTGTAACAATGTGATTGTTTTCTTTGCTTACATTAGCTCACTTGGTCAGCGAGACCAGATTGGACTGTTCCCATCACTTGACGCGTGTGGTTGTTTTCTTTGCTTACATAAGCTCACTAGGTCAGCGAGACCAGAATGGACTGTTCCCATCACTTGACGCGTGTGGTTGTTTTCTTTGCTTACATTAGCTCACTAGGTCAGCGAGACTAGAATGAACAGTTCCGATCACATGATGTCTGTGGTTGGTTTATGTTTTTTTCAATTTAATTTTCTCTTCTGAAAGACCATAAGAACAATAATTGGTTGAATTCGTTCTTGTGACTTTAGCATTACAATAATACAATGTCGTCTGCCAAGCAATATGGTCATAGTGTCTATAAATAAAACAAACAAAAAAGATAGATATATTGAAAGTAAAAAATCATCACAGAAACCGCTTTATCCCTTTCCTATTTAGTAAGGTTTTTGTTTTTAAAAGTTGTTTAATAAATTTCATAAAATTATGCGTTTCATTTCGTTAAAACCAACGTTTTACCTGATTGCGGCCATTTTGGAATGATACACTTCCATTAAAAATTGACAGTGTTGTCTGCCATATTGTCAGTTTCCTTGCAGATGGCAGATAGTTTGCTGATTTTTATGCCCAGACTACGATAGAAGTTTTCTGGACTGTCAGTCGGTATTTATGATGTGAACTCTTTACTACATTTACCAAATTACGGTTTTACCCAAATTTTGTGGTGCACTGAAAATAGAAATAGCGATGCATAGTGTTCTATATGATATTGTGAGCGAGGCATGATAGTCTCCTATTGACATATGTTCTTGTTTTATAGAGTGTAACGTCTAATAATATTACTGTATGGATATCATTCATGCTGTAAAAACACGTAAGTCTTGAATGTACTAGAACTATTTACCTTAATGCATGTAGTTTAAATGTTTCGTTGGCTTGCCTATTTTGTTTGTATAAATGTTTGCTCAAGCAATGTAATTAAGATTGACATCTGCAATCAATAGATAGGGTATAATGTATGCAAGCTGAAGTCCCGCCTATATATTGATTGTTGTTGTCAATCTTAATTACAATGCTTGAGCAAACATTTATACAAACAAATCAAGCCAGTCAACCAAACCTTTAAACTACATGCAGTAGGAAAATAGCTCTAAACTTCAAGAAATTAAGGAATGTGATGTCAATAAAATAAAAGAAAGACTGATTGAACATCGAGATGAAAATGGAAATGGAGCTATCACTGAGTTTTTTTAGCCGACCAAGAAATTTTCAAAGAAAAAAAAATTGTTAGCTGATTTACTATATATATGTAAAAAGTAGAGGGTGAAATACCAGTTTATCTAAAAATCTTCCAAGATATGAATCTATATATTTTGTATGCCCCCGTCGTAGGCAACGGGGCATAAAATTTTACCCTGGAACGTCCATCTGTCCGTCATTCCGTCCACATTTCTGTCCGCCCGTCCGTCATTCCGTCCGCCTTTCTATCCGTCCTTCCTAAGTTTGGTTTCCGCACTCGAACTTAAGTTTTTCTCATCCAAAATGTATGAAACACATACACAATGCTAAGAACCTTCACAGACGGAGTTCGGAAATCTTCTGAAACGGATTTTTTTAATTTAACACAATAAGAGTGTTGACCATAAGAGAAATAAGTTTAACAACTCGTGAGAATTGGATATCGCATGATATTAGCTCTCGGTTTTTAATTTAAATAGTAATAATAAACTAGTCTTATTGCTTTACATTTGGTTTATTTGGCCATTTATGGCTTACCTTACAGTAATTTTTTTATGTTATAGGCTGAAATAGGGCATTTTTTTTCTGTTTTTGATTTGCAACACGACGGGTGTCATGTGTTATACATAATCTGTTTATCCTTCCATAGCAACTGAGATCACTCCCTATTTTTGGTAGGTTCGTGTTGTTCACTTTATTTTTCTATGTAATTTTTTTTAGACTTGTTTCTTTTTTCGTCGTGTTTCCTTTTTCTGCCATGTCGTTTTCCGTTTTTCTTTGATTTATGAGTTTGTTATCTTCCATCTCTATTATATTTGATCATTTGATCGTTGAAATTAGGCCGTTGTTTGTCTCTAGATGTTTCACACATTTGGTTCACATTGAACCATGTATGTATTAAGACAAGGTGATGTTAAGTATAAGACAATGAGACAACAACCAAACATTTATTTAAAAAAAATTCCCAAATTACCTTCGGATTTCAACACGGTCAACAACATATTGTGTCTTTAAGATATGTCAGGCTCTTAAGCGAATTTGGACAGACTCATGAATAAATGAAAATATTGCTGTGTAATAATACTAATTAAAAAGACTAGACTTAACATTATGTTGTTTCAAATACGGCTAAGGCAATCTTTGCCAGGGGTAGTAGAAACCTTAGTGTTTCGAATCATTCAACATATAAAGACATTGAATTTAACTAAAAATGACCGCATCAATGATGTTGCATGTCAGCATAGAAGTTGACTTCTTCGCGAATGATAACATCGATCACGAACCTTCTATCAATAATGGCCTCGATCGAGTGGGTATAAAAACTCAAGAAAAACAAAAAAACCTTATTATTTAGTACACCAGACGCTCGTTTCGTCCACGTAAGATACACTAGTAGTTTTTGTATTACAACAGTTGAACCAGACGCTCGTTTCGTTCACGTCAGATACACTAGTAGTTTTTGTATTACAACAGTTGAACCAGACGCTCGTTTCGACCACGTAAGATACACTAGTAGTTTTTGTATTACAACAGTTGAAGCAGACGTATGTTTCGTTCACGTAAGATACACTAGTAGTTTTTGTATTACAACAGTTGAACCAGACGCACGTTTCGTTCACGTAAGATACACTAGTAGTTTTTGTATTACAACAGTTGAACCAGACGCACGTTTCGTTCACGTAAGATATACTTGTAGTTTTTGTATTACAACAGTTGAACCAGACGCTCGTTTCGTTCACGCAAGATACACTAGTAGTTTTTGTATTACAACAGTTGAACCAGACGCACGTTTCGTTCACGTAAGATACACTAGTAGTTTTTGTATTACAACAGTTGAACCAGACCACGTTTCGTCCGCGTCAGATACACTAGTAGTTTTTGTATTACAAGTTGAACCAGAAGCACGTTTCGTTCACGTACGATACTCTAGTAGTTTTTGTATTACAACAGTTGAACTAGACGCACGTTTCGTTCACGTAAGATACACTAGTAGTTTTTGTTTTACAACAGTTGAACCAGACGCTCGTTTCGTTCACGTAAGATACACTAGTAGTTTTTGTATTACAACAGTTGAACCAGACACACGTTTCGTTCACGTAAGATACACTAGTAGTTTTTGTTTTACAACAGTTGAACCAGACGCACGTTTCGTCCGCGTCAGATACACTAGTAGTTTTTGTATTACTGCAGTTGAACCAGACGCTCGTTTCGTCCACGTAAGATACACTAGTAGTTTTTGTATTACAACAGTTGAAGGCCAAATCAAATACGAATTTCAAGAGCACTGAAACCAACATTCCGAAAACATTTTAACCATCTAGTAATGGGGAGGGGAATGACAGCGGAGTAGCAAACGACAATAAATAAATGTACTACAAAAATCAGTACATAAACAATAAGTACAAGAAGGACGTTAAAGTAGATCTTGCGTCTTTTTCTGAGCATCCCTTCTGGACATGTTGCGAAAATACTTTTTTGGTATCAAAATATTTTACCAATTAAATGTGTGAAGTTTATTTTAAATTTAAAGAAAAATTCCGTTTAAAACCAAGGGTAGATAATTATATTGAATTTGATATGACAATTTGTGGGTTTTTTTTCAAGAAAATAAGGCCCCTGACTCCCCATGTTTATTTGATATTTCGGAAGTATTTATGGAAAGTAATTCTCTAATTGAATTTTTTCCAATTCTATCGTTTAATGTTTTCTCAATAAGAAAAAATTAAGTTACCATCCAATATATAATCTATTTAAAATAAGATAAACCATGATTTCACTAACTTCAATGTATCATAACGTAAAAACAAGGTCCGTGACCCCAGTTTTTATATTGGAATTTGACAGTACATTGATCAAGAAGTCGTTTACAGAAGTTTAAGAAAGATCTATCGTCGAACAATTATACACACCAGCTACCTTTATACATGTAAGCAGTATCGAACGATGCTGACAGTTACCGAAAGCAAGCTGAAATTACTAAGTGTGTACCGCTAATGAGAAATTCATTCGTCCTGCATTCTGTTAACGCTTTCCTTGCAAAAACGTTTTGATGGGGGAGTCTGAAATGAGGCAGTTATTTTTATAATTTTGTAATTGTTATCAAACCTACCAATACGCTGACTTTTCCATCAATTGTTTAAGGCCATTTAATGACATGTAGGTATTTGTTTATCTTACATTGGGTGTCTCCTTGACAGTTATATATTATATATGTATATACTAAAGATAAATTGTTTGAAGCAACACTTTTGAA